CCACGCCCGGCTGATTTTTTGATTTATTGTAGAGATGAGGTCTCACTGCCCAGGCGAGTCTCGAACCTGCGGGCTCAGGCAATCCACTCACCTCAGCCTCCCAAAGGCGCGGGATTACAGGCTGAGCCACCCAGCCTGGCTTAATTTAATTTTTTAAATTAACCGATGTATTACTAATTTTGGTTGGGGTCTCATTTGTTCACCCAGGTTGGAGTACAGTGGCACGATCACAGCTCACTGCAGCCTCTAATTCCTGGGCTCAAGCGAACCTCCAGTCTCGGCCTCCTAAGTGGCTGGCACACATCACCATGCCCGGCTAATTTTTTTATTTTTTGTAGAGATGAGGTCTTGCTATGTTGCCCAGGTTGGTCTTGAACTCCTGGGGTCAAGCAGTCCTCTTGCCTTGGCCTCCCAGAGTGCTTGGATTACAGACGTGAGCCACTGCACCCAGCCCCCAAAGTCCAAATCTTAAGTGCCTCCAGGGCTGTAACTTCATGATGGGCCCCCATCCCTTGCACTCTATGCTCCAGCCGTGCTGGTTTCCCGTTCTTCAAACGTGCCCAGTGTCCTCAGGCCCCAGGGCCTTTGCACATGCTGCTCCTTTGCCTCAAGCGTGGCTGCTCCCACCCTCTCTCCATCTGGTTAATGTCAATGCATACTTCAAGCCACAGCTTTACTGTCACTGCCGCCTCTGAGAAACCTTCTCTGACCCAGGCCTGCTCAAGCCCCCATGGACGTTCTCAACACCGTCCTTGTCTTCTCTTTCTGAACTGGAAAGACCACCTGGTCTTCCCTGGTTCACAGGCAGTTGCCCCATCAGACTGCAAGCCTCACAGGGTGCAAGCCTCACAGGAACAGGCTCTGGGGGCCTTTTTCAAGGCACTCTCTCCCCTGCCTCCTGCTGCACCTGGCAGAGGGTAGGAGCTTGTGGAGGCCGGGTGAATGGATGTGTATGTGACATCCGCACTGTTGCCCTGATGCTGAGAACTCTGCTCACAGACAAAACACCGGCCCAGGTGTAGGTGCCGTCCGGCTCACGGGCAGTAATTCTCAGCTGATGTGTTTCAGGCTTTTGCCAACCCTGAGGACGCCCTGCGACACGGAGGCCTCCAGTATTGTCGGAGTGACCCAGATGTGGAGCGTTGCCTCAGGCAAGTACTGTCCGGCCGCTGGTCTGGTTCCACGGGGCTGCACACCAAGTCACTGTGGTCCTTTCAGACCCTCCTCTGCATACTGGGGGCTTGGAGGACACCACAGGGGTTTCTGCTTCCCTGATCCCCTCAGACTGTTTTATTCATTGGCTTAATCCCAGCACTTTGGGAGGCCGAGGTGGGAGGATCGCTTGAGCCCAGGAGTTTGAGATCAGCCTAGGAACATAGTGAGACCTCGTCTCTACAAAGAATTTAAAAATTAGCCGGGCGTGGTAGTGTGTGCCTGAAGTCCCAGCTATTTGGGAGGGAGGCTGATGGTGAATGATCACCTGAGTCCAGGAGGTCGAGGCTGCCGTGAGCCATGATTGTACCATGGTACTCCAGCCTGGGCAACAGAGTGAGACCTTGGCTGAAAAAAAAAAAAAAAAGAAGGCCAGGCGTCGCAGCTCAGGCCTGTCATCCCAGCACTTTGGGAGACCAAGGCGAGAGGATTGCCTGAGCCCAGGGGTTAGAGACCAGCCTGGGCAACTTGGTGAGATCTCGTCTCTACAATAAATCAAAAAATAAGCTGAGTGGTAGCGTGTACCTGTATGTAGTTCCAGCTATTTGGAAGGCTGAGACGGAAGGATCACCTGAGCCCAGTAGATCAAGCCTGTGGTGGCTGTGAGCATGCCACTCACTCCAGCCTGGGCAACAGAGGCAGACTCTGACTCAAAAATAAATAAATAGATAGATAGATAGATAAATTAGCCAGGTGTGGTGTCGCGCGCCTGTATTTCCAGCTACTTGGAAGGCTGAGGCGGAAGGATCGCCTGAGCCCAGAAGGTCAAGGCGGTGGTGGCTATGAGTGTGCCACTGCACTCCAGCCTGGGCGACGTAGTGAGACTCCTACTCAAAAAAAAAAAAAAAAAAGAATTGTTCTAAGTGTGCACAAGTCTGTTGCCGCAGCTGGCATGCCAGCCGTTTCTCCATGCCCTGTCAGCTCAGTGCTTCGTCCTACCTTGGGTACGTCCTTGCCAATGTGACAGGTGGACATTTATGTCACATGTGGGTTTCACTTTGCATTTCTTGTATTCTGAGTGAAGTTGAACGTCTTATCATGTGTGATCATCCCCCAGTCCCTTAAAATCCATTTTCCTCACTCTAAGAATCAGAACTGCAAGACACCCTGGGTAAGACTCAAAACAACAGACAAAAAGGGAAGCCACTCACAATTCCCATCCTTGTTCACGTTCCCCTTCTCTCTCCTCGGTCTTCTGTGTCTAAATATGTCATAAAATTGGATACATCTAACTTGGAGTCCTGATTTTTTTCATTAGCAATATTTCACAAGTAATTATTACTCAAAAAAATAACTCTTAAAAAACGGCTGTGAGGTGAGTGAATTGCCTGAGCCCACGGGTTCGAGACCCACCTGGGCAACTTGGAGAGACCTCATCTCCACAATAAATAAAAAAAATTAGCTGGACGTGGTAGCGCATGCCTGTAGTTCCGGCTACGTGGAAGGCTGAGGTGGAAGGATCGTTGGAGCCCAGCAGGTCAAGGCTGCGGTGGCCAGGAGCGGCCACTGCACTCCAGTCTGGGTGATGGAGTGAGACTCCAACACAAAAACAAAAACAAAAAACAGCTGCGTAAAATTCCATCAGAGACTAAATGTCAATTGCACAAAACCAGCGTCCATATTGGATTTGGGGGGCAGTTCCTGCTCTGCTGTTTGTCGCCAGCAGTCTGGAGAGGGAGGGGGTGACACTTCGCGGGGATGAGGGGGGTCCGCGGAGCTTGAGAGGAGGGAGGAGGACGAGGAGCCAGACGGGTGAGACAGGAGACACGCTTCTCAACAAATTCCTGTGCGTCATAGGAGGAAATGGGTGGAACGCTGTCATTCGAGTAATAGAAATCCTTTTATTGAAAGAAAGTCTGTGGAGTTTTTTTTTCATATGTTTTTCTTGACCACTGACAGTAATATAGACACGTGTGGTTTTAAAAAAAAATTACAGCAATGTGTAATGCGGGAAGTGAAATTCCTTGCTATACCATCCTTTCAAAATTTTCACAAGAGGTCCATCCACCCACCCACCATCCACCTACCCACCCACTTTTCCATTCACCCCTCCTTCCTTCCTTCTTTCCACCGATCCACCCATCCATTCATCCAATCTCCCATCCATCCATCCACCCATTTTTCCACTCACCCTTCTTTCCTCCTTCCTTCCTTTCTTCTTTCCTTCCATCCACCCATCCATCCTTTAAGGAGCACTCACTACATCCAAGACACTGTGCTAATGGCTAGCTGTCCTTTTGTGAACAAAAGCCTTCTTTGCTACACACAGCCCCCCATCGGTGGTCCCTGCCCTGGTTGTGTCGGCTCTTCTGGATGGTGAAGGGTATAATAAGCCATCGAGCCAGCAGGCCGCCAGGACCCGTGGCAGGGCCTGGGCCCACTCCCAGCGGCTGCCAAGAGGATGCCTTTTGCTCTCCCAGGCTGCGGGGGGTTCTTGGTAGTAAGGCTTTTGTGTGGCACAGGAGGGTCCCTGTGGTCTGTGGACACTTGGTTTATTGTTACCGGGTGTAACTCACCAGGGAGAGACAACAGACCATGTGGCATTGAGACGTTTCCACCCACCCAACACAACTTTTTCTTTTCCTTTCTTTTTTTTTTTTTGAGTCAGGGTCTCACTCTGTTGCCCAGGCTGGAGTGCAGTAGCACACTCCCGGCCACCGCAGCCTCAACCTGCTGGGTTCAGGCGATCCTTCTGCCTCAGCCTTCCAAGTCGCTGGAAATACAGGCGCACGCGACCATGCCCAGCTAGCTTTTCTTCATTTATTGTAGAGATGAGGTCTTGCCAAGTTGCCCAAGCTGGTCTCGAACCTGTGAGCTCAGGCAATCCTCTCGCCTTGGCCTCACAAAGTGCTGGGATTACAGGCGTGAGTCACGTGCCCAGCCCTGAGCCCTCTTGTCTTTCTTTTTTTTGAGTTGGAGTCTCACTCTGCCCAGACTGGAGTGCAGCGGCACGTCCCAGCCACCGCAGCCTCCACCTGGTGGGCTCAGGCAATCCTTCCGCCTCACTCTTCCAAGTAGCTGGAACTACAGGCTTAATTTTGGATTTACTGTAGAGACGACATCTCACCAAGTTGCCGTGGTTGGTCTTGAACCCTTGGGCTCAGCCAATCCTCTGGCCTCAGCCTCCCAGAGTGCTGGTATGGCAGGCTTGAGCTACGGCACCCAGCCTAGGCTCTCTTTTCTAATATTGCTTTATATACATTTGGTGAGGATTTATTGAGAGCCTACTATATACTGGGCTCATGCCAGACCTGGGCAGGGGGTGCCTAGGTCCCCCAGACCTCTCCCCCACCAACTGACTTCACAGAGCCTCATGGAAACTTAAGGGAGCAGAACTAAGAAGTTTACATCCTGCTGTCCGCGGGGAACTGGCTATAACCTGAGCAGGCTACCCCTTGGAAGAAGTCAGTTAAACATTAGACCCAGGCTTACAGTGTAAGCAGAGGCACCATCTGTCAAGCAGGAAAGCACCTCGGTCTTGGCTCTTGGAGCATAAATTTGCCTTGCAGGTTAGCACATGCTGCAGCCAGAACCTCAGCCTGGCGCTGGGAGAAGCCAGGGACGGGGTCAGAAGGATGAAACTCGGCCACCTTTCACGATGCCTCCCAAATGCCCTGGCAATGTGTGTTTTGACCAGGATCTGACTCTGTGTGTGTGGAACCACAGAGGGGCTGTCGGTGGGGTTCCCAGGAAGGGAGGCCAGCATCTGACCCATGCTTGGGAATATTTCTATTTGGGGCATGTAGATTTCATCTGAGTGAACTGGTTTGTCAGGAAATCGGGTCCCAAAATGTCAGTCCTGGAAGTTCCTTAGACAGCATCCAACACGTTCATTTTGTACAGGGAACCGAGGCCCAGAGAGGGAGAGAGTCCTGCCTGGGGCCACAGAGCTCATTAGTGCCCAGCAGACCTGGAGGTTCCTGACCTGGGACTCTCTTTCCACCGCACCACGAAGTGGTCTTTGTTAATTTGGCCTGGGCATCCAAGGGCGGCTGGCCTGGGCATCCAAGGGCGGCCAGGAGTCTGTCAAAACCAATACGGCGAAATTAGCTTCAGCAATGGTGTCCAGAGCGGGGCTGGTGATGGTAGTGACAATGATGAAGCCGGGAGTGTTTTTACTTTTTGAGTCAGGGTTTCACTCTGTTGTCCAGGCTGGAGTATGATGACACCATCATGGCTCACTGCCTGGGCTCAGGTGATCCTCCCACCACAGCCTCCCAAATAGCTGGGTCTACAGGTACACGCTACCACACCTGGATAATTTAGACAGACAGATAGATAGATAGATAGATAGATAGGCCTGGCACAGTGCCTCATACCTATAATTCCAGCACTTTGGGAGGCCAAAGTGAGAGGACTGCCTGAGCCTGCGGGTTCAAAACCAACCTGGGCAACCTGGTGAGACCTCATCTTTACAATAAACCAAAAAATTAGCTAGGCATGATGGTGCATGCCTATGGTTCCAGCTACTTGGAAGGTTGAGGCGGAAGGATCACCTGAGCCCAGTAGGTCGAGGCTGCGGTGTCCATGAGCATGCCCCTGCACTCCAGTCTGGTGATGGAGTGGGACTCCGACTCAAAAAATAAATAAATAGATAGATAGACAGACAGACAGATGGGGTCTCACTATGTTGCCCAGGTCTTGAACTCTGGGGCTTGAGCAATCCTCCTGTCTCGGCCTCCCAAAGTGCTGGGATTACAGGCATGAGAAGTCACATCCAGATATTTTTTGAATTTTTTTGTAGAGACGAGTCCTCGCTATGTCACCCAGGCTGATTTCAAACTCCTGGGCTCAAGCAATCCTCCCCCCACAGGTTCCCAAAGTGCTGGGATTATAGGTGTGAGCCACCGTGCCCGGCCAAGATCAGGATGTTCTAAGTACTCGCCAGTTACCAACTCACGGGGCGCTCTCAGAAGGCATCTGGCACTCAGTTCTGCTCCCAAGAGCCCTCCCTGGGCATGGAGACTTGACTCTCTTGCGTTCCTGCCTTCATAGCTAAGCAGCCATGGTGGGGTGTCTGCCCTGAATCCAAGGGGATCACTGCCCATGTGGAGAGAAGCAGGTTGGAGGGAGAGGGGGGAGTTCTACTGAGTGCAGCTGCTGTCGCCAGCCTAGATGCCTGGGCATAGCTGTCCCCACTGCTGTCACCTGCTGCAGGACAACGCAGCTGGCATGGGAGAGGAGGAGGCCTGATGTGGCAGGAAGCCCAGCACGTCCAGCCTAGCAGGAATGTGCTTTGATAGAGTTTACCTTTAAAATGTGGCTCGCCTAGCCGGGCTCGGTGGCTCAGCCTGTAATCCCGCCCTTTGGGAGGCTGAGGTGAGTGGATTGCCTGAGGTCACGAGTTCGAGACCCGCCTGGGCAACTTGGCGAGACCGCATCTCTACAATAAATCCAAAAATTAGCCGAGTGTGGTAGCGCATGCCTGTAATTCTGGCTACTTGGAAGGCTGAGGTGGAAGGATCGCCAGAGCCCAGCAGGTCGAGGCTGTGGTGGCCGGAAGCGGCCACTGCACTCCAGTCTGGGCAACAGACTGAGACTCCAACTCAAAAAAAAAAATGTGACTCGCCGGGCTCAGTGGCTCAGCCTGTAATCCCGCACCTTTGGGAGGCTGAGGTGAGTGGATTGCCTGAGCCCGCGGGTTCGAGACCCGCCTGGGCAGCGAGACCTCATCTCTACAATAAATCAAAAAATCAGCCGGGCGTGGTAGCACATGCCTGTAATTCCGGCTACTTGGAAGGCTGAGGCAGAAGGATCACCTGAGCCCAGCAGGTCAAGGCTGCAGGGACTGTGAGCATGCCACTGTCCTCCAGCCTGGGTGACAGGGTGAGACACCAACTCAAAAAAAAACAAAAACAAACATAGCTCCTGTTGGAAATGACACATTTTGTCCAGGCATCATTCCTTCACTTCGTTGTTCCCTGTCCCTGGCAGTGGCTTCCTGGGGGCCTTGCTGTGGTTTGAGACGGACCAGATGGGGGAGGGCCCAGCTCCCGACTGCCTCTCCTCCCACGCTGGCGACCTCTGAGTCGCTGCCCAATGGCTGGAACAAGGAGGCGGGGCGCAGGGTTTTCTGCAAGGCCAGGCTCTCCCCAGTCCTCAGCTCTGCCCAGCAGAGCAGGGCCTCCCTCGCCACGAGCTTCTCCCCTTCTCCTTCTCCCCCCACCCCTGCTTCCGTCCTTCACCCACCCTTGGGTGCTTGGCCTTGTTTGGGTACCAGATGCTCTGAACAGCTCCCTAGAAGTTGACTCACTCTTCAAATGTAAACACATCTGCGTGGGTTTCTTATTCCAGTTATTTTCTTTCCCATAAACATTGTGAGAAGACTCATCGGCCGGGTGCGGTAGCTCATGTCTGTAATCCTTACACTTTGGGAGGTGGAGGTGAGAGGATTGCCTGACTCAGGGGTTCGAGACCAGCCTGAGCAACATGGCAAGACCTCGTCTCTACAATAAACCAAAAAATTACCCAGGCGTGGTAGCACGAGCCTGTGGTTCCAGCTAATTGGAAGACTGAGGTAAGAAGGATCACCTCAGCCCAGCAGGTCAAGGCTGCGGCGGCTGTGAACGTGCCACTGCACTCCAAGTTGGGTGAAGAGTGAGACTCCGACTCGGGGGGAAAACAAAAGAATACTTATCCCGGTGGCATTATCTTGTGAGTCACCTGTGGTAGGCAAGCCAAGTTTTGGGACATGCTGACTTAATCTAAAAGAGGTTTTCCGAGGTGGGAGGATCACTTGAGCTCAAGTGTCCAAGACCAGCTCGGGCAACATTGCAAGACCCCAAATCTAAAAAAAAAAAAAGGAAATGAAAGAATTAGCCAGGCGTGGTGGCACGTGTCTGTAGTCCCAGCTACACGTGTCTGTAGTGAGACCCCAATTCAATCAATCAAATAGGTTTTCCAAGGGTGTCCCTCTAATCAGTACGTAGGGAGATGCTGGTCCAGACAGTTCTATTTCCAAAGCAATGTTTGAGGAACACTTGCCTTTTTCTCGACTCCCAAGTCAGGGAAGGGAATTATTTGATTGGAGAATTGGAATGAGCCCAGTTCTTTATTTTATTTTATTTTTTTATTTTTTATTTTTTTTGAGTTGGAGTCTCACTCTGTTGCCCAGACTGGAGTGCAGTGGCTGCTCCCGGCCATTGCAGCATCGACCTGCTGGCCTCGGGCAATCCTTCCGCCTTAGCCTTCTTAGTAGCTGGAACTACAGGCACGTGCTACCACGCCCGGCTAATTTTTTGATTTATTGTAGAGATGAGGTCTCGCCAAGTTGCCCGGGCTGGTCTCGAACCCGTGTGCTCAGGCAATCCACTTGTCTCGGCCTCCCAAAGTGCTGGGATGACAGGCTGAGCCACCGAGCCCGGCCTAACTTACAGGGGTTTTTGTGCATGCAGATTGAAGTCCAGTCTTGCATCACTAGGCCCTGTTTCTCCTCTTATTCTGCCTCGGCTCCTCCTGGGCACCACACTCTAGCCACCTGGGTCACTTTGTATCTTGAAGACGCTACGCTTATTCCTACCTCAGTACTTTTGCACATGCCAGTTCCTCTCCCTGGGATGTTTTTCCCCTGCCTAGCCAGTTTCCCATCATTCAGGCCTCAGCACGAATGTCTCCTTCCCTGACTACCCCCGCCCGGTCCCCCTGCAGAGATCCCTTACAATGTTGGGTTGCTGAGCGCTGCAGACCTCCCCTCTGCCCTGCCCACTTCTGATCAGGTCAGCACATCGTGGCCCTTGCCTAAGACTCATCTTGCCCGTGGGAGGAAAGAGGAGGATCCGCGGATGCAGCGTTGTTGGTGAAATGCGTTCTAGGCCAGGCTCGGTGGCTCAGCCTGTCATCCCAGTACTTAGGGAGGCCGAGGCGAGGGGACTGCCTGAGCCCACGGGTTCGAGACCAGCCCGGGCAACTTGGCAAGACATCTCTACCATAAATCAAAAATCAGCTGGGTGTGGTAGCATGTGCCTGTAGTTCCGGCTACCTGGAAGACTGAGATGGAAGGATCTACCGGAGCCCGGCAGGTGGAGGCTGTGGTGGCTGGGAGCGTGCCACTGCACTCCAGCCTGGGCAGTGGAGTGAGACTCCAACTCAAAAAAAAAAAAAAAAAGAAATGCATTCCAGCCAGATTCCCCACACCTCACACATGTGGCCTCTCCCTGGGAGGGGGCAGGGTCATGGCCTGGGTACTAGGTTCCCGTTTATTTGAGCTTCCAACATAGCCATTAGTAGGAGTCATGGAAAATGTGAATCAGCACTTAGCAGGAGCAGGTAGATTTTCTTCCATGGTCGATTGCTTATAGCAGGGTTATACACAGGGCCCCCTCACACACACACACACACACACACACACACACACACACACACACACACGATTACTTTTTATTTATTTATCTTTGAGATGGAGTCTCACTCTGTCACCCAGGCTGGAGTGCAGTGGCATGATCACGGCCACCGCAGCCTCAACTGGCTGGCTTAGGTGATCCTTCAACCTCAATCTCCAGAGTAGCTGGAACTACAGGTGTGCGCCACCACACCCTGCTAGTTTTAAAAATTTTTTTGTGGAGACGAGGTCTCACTAGGTTGCCCAGACTGGTCTCGAACTCCTGGGCTCCCGCCTCAGTCTCCGAAAGTGCTGGGGTTACAGGTGTGAGCCACCATGCCCAGCCCCTACACTGGTTCACTTCAAACAAAAAAAGGGGCGGGAAAGAATGGATGACGTCAAGAACCCCAGACAAGTGGTGGTTGTAATCAGGGATACGCAGAGCCAGGTGTTGACGTCAAAAGCATGCTCTTGGGCTCCAGCCCCTTCTACTCAGGAGGGCCCCAGGAACCTGCATTCCAAAGAGGAGGCCCTGACTCAGAGAAGCCCTGCCCTGGGGCATGGAGAGCACACACTTGAGTGAGAACTAGGTTATAATCCTAACTCCTCTGCTCAGTGACTTTGCAATGTGCTCAGGCCCTTGGAGCCCCACTTTTGCTTTCTTCTTTTTTCTTTTTGAGTGGGAGTCTTACTCTGTCGCCCAGGCTGGAGGGCAGTAGCACGCTCACGGCCACCCCAGCCCCCGACTTGCTGGGTTCAGATGATCCTTCGCCTCAGGCTTCCAAGTAATTGGAACTACAAGCACATGCCACCATGACTGGCTAATGTTTTGATGTATTGCAGAGATGAGGTCTTGCCAAGTTGCCCATGTTGATCTTGAACCCATGGGCTCAGGCAATCCTTTCACCTCAAGTGCTGGGATTATAGGCGTGAGCCACTGCTCCTGGCCCACACTTTTTCCTTCTGATGCCCAAGGGCCAGAGGGGAAGATGGTGGAGAGTGTGGTGGGGGCCAAGTCCTGGCAAGCCTTAGAGCTGTGATAAGAAAACCCTAGACCAGCAGCAACCCTTTGCAACTCCCAGCCCATTTCTGGTCCACCCAACCAACTTGGCTATCTGGTCAACCCAGCCAATTTGACCATATGGTTGGCCCAGCTAATTCAACCATCTGGTCAACCTCGCCATGCATGGATTTGCGTGTCTGCCCTGCTGGAATGATCCCCAGTGGGTCAGGGCCCTCCCCATTTCCATGACATGCTCAGAAGGGCCCAAAGCTCATGCCTAGCTGATTGCAGCCCTCTTGTCTCCCCAGAGCCCACCGGAACGACATGGAGACCATCTACCCCTTCCTCTTCCTGGGTCTTCTCTACTCTCTTCTGGGTCCCAACCCTCTGGTCGCCTGGGTGCACTTCCTGGTGTTCCTCCTGGGCCGCGTGGTGCACACTGTGGCCTACCTGGGAAAGCTGCGGGCGCCCATCCGCTCCGTGACCTACACCGTGGCCCAGCTCCCCTGCATCTCCATGGCCCTGCAGATCCTCTGGGAAGCAGTCCGTCACCTGTGACCAGCAGCTGACGCCTGCCTGGTGGCCAGACCTTGGGCCAAGAGCTGCCATGGCCGGATCTGGGAACTTGGGTGGCTACTGATTGCGACAAGTCCTGGGTCCTGGCTTCCTGGTGGCCCGCTGAGCGCATGGATCCTGGGCTCAATGGGCCTCTGTGTACACATGTGTGTGTATGTGTGTATGGATGGAGTGGAGGCACATGTCTCTTAGCCCCTTAGATTCCTTCGTGAAGTGGCCGATTGAAACCATTTAGAGACAGTTGTCAAGAGTGATCAAAAATACTTTAGCTCAAATAACAGCATGAAAACTTCACTCCCTCTCCCTCCCTGAGTGAAAAGAGAGAAGGAAGACTCCATTCAGGATTCCTTAAAGGGACGTTGTCTGAATCTGGCGCTAAGATTGCAGACTTAACTGCACTCCAGTCTGGGCGACAGAGTGAGACTCCGACTCAAAAAAAAAAAAAAATTGCAGACTTAGACTCCTTGACCAGGCACAGTGGCTTACACCTATAATCCAGCACTTTGGGAGGCCGAGGTGAGAGAATTGCCTGAGCCCACAGGTTCGAGACCAGTCTGGGCAACTTGTCGAGATCTCATCTCTACAATAAATCCAAAAATTAGCTGGGTATGGTGGCTCTCGCCTATGGTTCCAGCTACTTGGAAGGCTGAGGCAGAGGGATTGCCTGAACCCAGCAGGTTGTGGCTGCGGTGGCCGTGAGTGTGCCACTGCCCTCCAGCCTGGGCGACAGAGTGAGACTCCGGCTCAAAAAAAATACAAAATAAATAAAAAAAATAAAAAGGCTCCCAGGAGAGTCCTTTGACAGGGCCAGGCCTGAGAGCCACTGCTGGTTCCTTTTAGAGGCAGGGCTCAGGATCTGGTCTATGGTTTCCGTTTTTTTTGTTTGTTTGTTTTTGGTGAGGATCTCACTCTGTTGCCCAGGCTGGGATGCAGTGGCACCATCACACCTCACTGTAGCATCAACCTCCTGGGCTCAGATGATCCTCCTGCCTTGGCCTCCCAAGCAGCTGGGACCACAGGCGCGTGCCACCATGCCTGGTTAATTTTTTGGTTTTTGTAGAGATGAGGTCTCGCTATGTTGCCCAAGCTAGTCTTGAACTCCTGGGCTCAAGCAACCCTCCCACCTTGGCCTCCCAAAGTGCTGGGGTGACAGGCATGAGCCACCGTCTCCAGTCTCCAGTTCACTTTATGGTGAGAGTTTCGTGGGATGAGGGCAGGTTGTGTTCCTGGCTCCTGATGGCTCTGCTGGAACCTTCTCTCTGGCTGGGGTGGGGTGGGAGGGGTTGACGGAAGGCCAGCCTTCTCCTCCAAGACTTGAGTCACTCCAAAAGGCTGTCCATTGAGGACAGTGGGCTCTAAGTAACCAACCACTAAAAGGAATGTTCTGTTCCTTCAGTACCTCCGAGTTTTGAAAACCGCAAATGTCCACCCCTATGGGGAATCCGTGTGTGTGTGTGTGTGTGTGTGTGTGTGTGTGTGTGTGTGTGTGTGAGATCTCCTAGACGCTTGTCCTAAGACGTGTGATTTTACACCGCCTCAAAGCCTCTTGGGTTGCTCATTCCAGTGTTCGTCGCTGCCGCTGGCTGGGCATTTTTTGTTCTTGCGATTATTATTCTCTTATTTTACAAATTAATTAGAGTTATAGAGACAAGGTCTTGCTATGCTGCCCAGGCTGGTCTCCAACTCCCGGGCTCAAGCGATCCTCCTGCCTTGGCCTCCCAAAGTGTCGGGATGACAGACATGAACCTCCTGACCGGCCCAGCTGGGCATTTTTGCCAGCGCTTGTCTGGGGCCGGATCAGCCGGACACAGTCCCTGGCAAACGCCCAAATGCACCCTGACTGAACAAGCAGCCACACGGCAAGCAAGAGCCTCCTGGTGGGACCAGTACTCCGGCATCTGGCTAGGGGGCCCAGGGAGGCGCAAATCCTGCCCTGGCCTGTCACTTCTCCCTGCAACCCTCCCCTCTCCTGGGCTTGCTACTCTCAGCTCCATTTATACAGATGAGGGCGCTGAGGCTCTAGGGGGTGAGCACCTCGAGGTGCAGGGTCGGCTCTCAGACCCGGGGCCGCCAGGCTGCAAAAGCCCCAGGTCTGAGCCCCTGGGCTGCACGGCCTCGCTTTCCCTGAGCGCCCCGCGCGGCACCCCGAGGCCCGGCGACCCCGCGGAGGGGACCTGCCACGCGGACCCCGGGCCCCGCCAGCGCGGTCGGCCCT